GTTCCTTTTGGAGGATCTGTCTCTTGGCAGATAAGGGGATCTCAGGGAAACGTCTGCCGGCATCTGCTGTTCCCCAAGAGTCTTCAGTTCAAAGTACTCAGCATACCAAAACATCATGTTTTGGGGTGACATTTCCTGAGCTCCTTTGGTGTCATCTAATTTTAATTGTAACCAAGGCTGTTGAATAAAGTTGGATTTGATGAAGAGGTAAAATACTGTTGCAATGAGGGAAACATTTCTGGAGGTTCAGAGGTTTATTCTAAATGAATCATAGGCAACTTCTAGCTTTCTCTCTCTCTCTCTCTCTCCCCACTTTCTTTCTTTTTCTCTTTCCTTCTCTTTTTTTTTTGCTCTGTAGACCAGGCTGGAGTACGGTGGCATGATCTCAACTCACTGCAACCTCCACCTCCCTGGTTCCAGCAATTCTCATGCCTCAGCCTCCCAAGTACCTGTGACTACAGGCATGCACCACCATACCTGGGTGATTTTTGTATTTTTAGTACAGACAGGGTTTCACCATAGCCAGGCTGGTCTCGAACTCCTGACCTCAAGTGATCCACCCGCCTTAGCCCCCCAAAGTGCTGGGATTACAGGCATGAGCCACCGCGCCCGGCCTCTAGCTGTTTTCTTGAAGAAAGCATCCTACAAAGTGCGGACACATCATTCCAGGTCCAGACTAAGACAGATTAATGGGCCCAGAAGCTACTGGCTCGAGCTGCTAAGTATTTCAACTCGCCACCTGTCATTCACCCACCTGCTGTCAGAACCTTGATAATTGGCCAAAACTGAACTCAATGGTTCTCTAAAGGGCAAAGCAAAGATTACTCTGTCCCTCACTGTTAAGAAGGCTATTCTGGCCGGAAGCAATAAGCATCTCTCTTTTTATTTTGGAAGCAGAAGCAAGGTTTTTTTCATGTAACCTCTGGACAGAGGAAATGCAGTATGTCCCAGCATACTGGCAGGGACATGGGCTTGGGAGACAGGGACAGCTAAGTGGGCATTTTAATGCTGCCACCTGCAAGCCGTGAGATTGGGTAAGGGAGTTATCCTTTCTGAGTCCCAGCCTCTGTAGTTGTAAAATGAAAATAGCAAACTCCACTGCAAAAGTTGGTTGATTTAATATGGGAACATCCGAAAAGCTCCTAATTCTGTGCCTGCCATGGTGTTGGGTGCTGGGAAGTATTCTCTCTTTATTGGCATCAAAGAATCTCCACGGAGATGTGCGAGAGAAAGGGGGGCTTCACCATGACTTTTTTTTTTTTTTTTTTTTGAGACAAGGTCTCACTCTGTCACCCAGGCTGGAGTGCAATGGCCCAATTTCGGCTCACTGCAACCTCCACCTCCAGGATTCCAGTGATTCTCGTGCCTCAGCCTCCCAAGTAGCTGGGATTACAGGCACATGCTGCCACTCCCAGCTAACTTTTTTTTGTGTTTTTTGGTAGAGACGGAGTTTCACCATGTTGGGCAGGCTGGTCTCGAATTCCTGACCTCGAGTGATCCGCCTGCCTCGGCCTCCCACAGTGCTACGATTACAGGTGTGAGCTACCGCACCCTGCCCTTCACAATGACTTTTTTAAACCTACCTAACTGTCCTCCCAACTTTCCAAGTGCCTCAAGCCGGGTAATGAGACATGCTTTCCTAACTCTTTATCCAGCTTTGTGAAAATCGTGGCTACGAGCACCAACCTCCCTAATGGAATTAGGTCTTTTTTCAGAAGTGCGAATTCTCCTAGGAGAAAAAGAATGCTGAGTTCCCGGCGCCACATAGGGATGCATGTCTGGGATGTGCTTTTCTAATCCCTGGAAGTGCCTGACTTCCTGAGAAGACTGAGTGGGGCTGGGGATAAAATGCTGACAGATGAGAGGGGAGATGGGGAAACAAGTGTGACAAGAAGTCAGAAAAGCGAAGCATAGGCTTCGGAAAATTGGTGTGGCTTTGCTCTCTGCTGTCACGCCATTTATTTGATGGATGATAAACCTGATACATTTATAGTGGAATCTCTTCCCACACTGGCCGTTATACTTTATAAGGATTTTCTAAATGATCTCAGTAGAAATCCCAGTTTTATGAGAAGCCAAATTTTCACCATGTGATGCTATCTTGAAAAACATATGTCCACAGATATTCCTGGACATCAACTTTCAAAACCACCATTTCTCTTTCTTATACCATAGACATATTTAGACGAATTTTTAGAAACAATTTTTGTAGAAATCGGCAAATCATAAAAATGTATCAAATATTTAAGATACTCAAAAGGAGCCAAAATAATATAATGAATACACCCATGTGGCTGTTAACCAGTTTAATTTTATAGGGTTAAAAACAATAAATATAAAAATATTTTTCAGGCTGGGCGAGGTGGTTTATGCCTACAATCCCAACACTTTGGGAGGCCAAGGCAGGCAGATCACTTGAGTCCAAGAGTTCAAGACTAGTGGGTGACATAGTGAGACCCCATCTCTACAAAAAATTTAGAAGTTGCCAAGTGTGGTGGCACACACCTGCAGTCCCAGCTAGTCGGGAGGCTGAGATGGGAAGATTGCTTGCACTCAGGAGGTGGAGGCTGCAGTGAGCCACGATCAATTGCTCCACTGCACTCCAGCCTGGGCAGCAGAGTGAGACCCTGTCCCAAAAAAAAAAAAAAAAAAAAATCCAAGAAGGCATATTGATGAAATAACAATACAAAAAAGGAAAGTAAGAGAATCCTGAACACAGACTTCAGGATGGTAGTTACGTTGAGTGGAGAAGCAAGGAAACAAAAAAAGGATCACGAAGTGAGAGGGATTGTCCAGGATTTAGCCTTCTTAGAGGGTATCATGAATCAAAATCTATTAGAAATTCTGCCTCCAAAATTCTATGAAGTCTTCCTCTAAAAGACTTAAAGCCCAGGTGAGAGAAAATTCTTGAGCTCTTCAAAAATCACAGGTCTAAGAAAACACAATGAGGTCGGGCGCAGTGGCTCACGCCTGTAATCCCAGCACTTTGGGAGGCCAAGGCGGGCAGATGACCTGAGGTCAGGAGTTCGAGACCAGCCTGTGCAACATGGTGAAACCCTGTCTCTACTAAAAATACAAAAATTAGCCAGGGGCTGTGGTGCATGCCTATAATCACAGCTACTTGGGAGGCTGAGGCAGGAGAACCGTTTGAACCCGGGAGGTGGAAGTTGCAGTGAGCCGAGATGACACCACTGCTCTCCAGCCAGGGCGATAAGGCAAGACTCTGTCTCAAAAAAAAAAGAAAAAAAAGACAATGAACTTTTTGGACAATGTGCTTCATATACTTCATTCAGTGAGTATGCAATCTGGATTCACAAAGCTAGTTTCTGGGGTGACACTTTATTCAGTGAATATGCAACTTAGATTCCCAAAGCAATAGGCCAACGTTGGGACTGACTAGATGTAGCAAAACAACCCAAGTTTTCTATATCATGGTTTAGGGACACAAAACCAGGGAACACTTAACCAGGACTATTCTATTGGGGTCACCAAAGAAGAGTTAAACAAATCAAACCAAAAGCACAAAATAAAGCCCATGTGAGCGGCACACGGCACACATGTAACTTTATATTATAAATCGTTTCCTCATCTTTTCAAAGGAAAGGAATTTCTATAAAGTGATTGTATTTACTACACATGTGGTATCAGAGATATTCAAGATTGCTATAAAAAGATTATTTATAACTCAATAGCTACTCTTGTTTACTACATAGATTACATCACCATCCCATATTGTTACATTAAATTAGCATTTTCCCCACTTTTAGTGCATTTGTTATCAAGCCTGTGGCTCAGGCAAAAATGCCTTATAGAGAGCAGCCTAGAAGGTAATAAATAAGATGTACTTCTAATCTGCCCCAGGTTCGAAAGTTTATTCCAGCTGAGTCCATATGTAACCCAGAGGAGAAGCCCCTCTGTCTGTTCCCTTAGGCATTCTTCCCTCTTGGAATACCTTTCATGGAGGTGTGGAGTGATACCATCTTAGGTACAGAGCTCTGTAGGAGTACAAAATCACCTGTGGAGCTAAGGCAGCGAGAGGACTCTGAACTGGGCACTGGGTAGTGCTGATGGAGTGGGCACGTTTTGTTCTTGTGGTCATTTAGTAGCCACTCCTCCTTCTTTGGTAATTGCATTCTAATTTTGGGGGACGGAGGATAGAATTGCTCCTGTCTTATGAGATGAGTTTGGGGGAGATTGTCAAGGCTCCATGCCTTTCTCTGGTTAAGGGATATTCACTTGACACAAGCAAGACCAAGCGAGCGCTTTCTAACCCAGGAGCCTCTGTGGGATTGGAATCCCAATCCCTCCTTGTGCGGAGGAAGACAAGAAACAGAGTGATGAAAAGACAGAAAGCTTCAGAGTTCATTCATTAGAGTGGTGGTACTTGGATAAGACTGCCCCAAATCCTAAAACCCTGAGAAAGCACCTGGTCTCCGTCCTTCTCTAAGCCTGATTCTAAAATCCTAGGAGCCCCCTCAAACTCTTCCAATAAATTCCCCTGTGACTTTGTGGTTAACTTAGCTAGACTTTCAGTCTAACTTGCCATCAAAGAACTTGAAGCCTAAACCCCCTGGGGCTGCCACACCATAGCTGAGTGGTCTTGAACAACTCACTTCACTCAACCCTAGAACAAACAGAATACAGCCTGTCCTGTGGAGTCGGCAAATGTGAAATCTCCAATCTGACGAGCAATACGGATTGAGTTTACACTGCTTCACACACTCTCTGGAGGCTCCTTAAAGATGTATGATGTATAAAGAATCAATTTCCACTGCAGAATGAATGCTGACGGGCACTATCAGCTCCTGCCTGTGTGTCTTCAACTCTCTCCCATTGGAAAAATCAGTGAATCAGTAATAATATTGTCCCCTCCTGCCTGTAAAGGAAATCTGAGGTGAATCCCGAGGCTGCCATGTAAATTTCCTCATATTGTTGTTTTCCTTCCCCCTCTCCCGCCCCACGCCTTTGAAAAAATGATGGGCTGTGATCCGTGTCCTAGTAGCAGGAAGCCCGTCGGACCCGACTCTTTGCTGACTCTTTCATCTCCCAGCAGCTCCAGGAAGCAACAACAACAAAAAAAGGGGAGTCTGCTGCCATCACCCCCATCCAAACCAGGCTCAGGAAATTTTCCAGGGCCAGGCTGCCTTTGTGGAAGCTATGTAAGGACTGGAGAAACACGTGTTCTCATGCAAACAAACCCCACAACAAAACAAGAGATGCTGCCTTTGGACTGGACTTTGTCCAGCCTGGAGTCACAGTGCCAGTCAAGAGCCCCTCCAGAATACTTGTACCTGGATCTTCACTAGGGGTAAGTCCTTGTTCTTGATTCTAAATATTTATTTAACCAACAAAGCGCTCTATTAATTCCAGTTGAAGGGCAGATGCAGGGACAGTGTTCTAGTTGCTAACGCTGTGTGAGAAAGCACCCCAGAAGGTCGTAGGTGAAACAACTATCTTAAGATGCCGGCTGATCGGGGCTGGGGAATTTGGAAGGGCCAAAGCAAGGGTGGCTTGTCCCTGCTCTATGGTTCTTAGATAACTCAGAGGGCTGGGGGCTGAGAGAGTGGAGGAAGGAGGACACACTTCCAGATGGCTTGTTCATGCATGTGGTTATGCACCGGGCAGGAACAGGGATGGCCAGAGGGCCAAGCTCAAACTGGCAGCTAAAGAGCCCAGAGGGGCAGCCCTTAGGGGAGGCGGTACCCACTGCCTGCCTTATAGACCCTGTCCCTACCATCACCTTGACTTGCTTTCTACTATCTGTCATTGGTGGGAGCAGTTCCTAGCGGTCCCAGATTCAAGGGAGGGGTATAGACCTCACCTCCCAAGGTGGAGTCAGTAACAAGGAACTGTGGGCCACATTTAAAACCATGACAGGCTAGTGAATGGCTTTTGGGGAGATTTATGGGTGAAGGCAGGAGGAGAGTCTTGGAGAAGCCCAGATTCAGTCATTCTAAGCATTCGTCACAAACGGATCTATCATCTGGGTTTCAAATACAGCTCTCAGATGACTGCTCTTCATGAGGCTGGGCACAGTGGCTCATGCCTATAATCCCAGCACTTTGAGAAATTGAGGCGGATGGATCAGCTGAGGTCAGGAGTTCGAGACCAGCCTGGCAAAAATGGTGAAATCCCATCTCTACTAAAAATACAAAAATTAGCTGGGTGTGGTGGTGCACACCTGTAATCCCAGCTACTTAGGAGACTCAGGCAGGAGAATTGCTTAAACCCAGGAGACAGAGGTTGCAGTCAGCTGAGATTGCCACCACTGCATTCCAGCCTGGGTGACAGAGTGAGACTCCATCTCAGAAAAACAAAACAAAAAACCAAACAAACAAACAAAAGCAAAGACTGCCCTGTGTTTCTTTGCAGCCGGCCAGAGCAGAATGCAGTGTTCTCAGGACTGCGAAGCTGGGTCACCCACACCTGGTTGGACTTGATAAGTGTCATAACCTAACGAAGGATGCCATTCTGTACTCTCCAGTGCCTGGGGGAGCCCCAGTGGGAACGGATCCAGATGGTGCTGGGCCTGGGCCAACAGTGAAATGGGGGAGGACGGGTCCTTTCTCTCCTTTGTCCCTAACCTCCCCACTTCCTACTGCTGTCTGACTCAGAACTCTCATGAAAAACCCAACTTCTTACACTGATATTTCCCAGAGGCCTAATTGTGCAACAAGAAATAAAAACACAATTAGAGAACTGAGGTCCAGCAGGAAATTCACATTACATAAATAAGACCTGGAGTGTGTAGGGGAGCGCCCCAACTCCCAGCCTTGTTAGTACTGAAGGCTGCGAGCACACAGCTAAGGGATCCTCTGATTTGGTGGATAACCCTTGTGAACAATAGTTCTCTGAAAAGGGATTTAGAGGAAAGAGACTTTATTCCTGTAAACAGTTTTCAAACTAGGGAAAGGCAGCCTTCGGTGTAAAATGAAGGCGCTTTCCAGACAACAAAGGAGGGGCTGGGCTTTTATAGAGAAAGTTCCTGCCTATGTTTTCACTCAGGTCCACTTATGCAAATAAAAGATTCAAACTTGCTTAATCTGATTGGTTGATGCTTGCTGAGTTCTGATTTGTTGACACAGGTCATAGTCTATTGGTTGGTTTGGGCAACATAAACAGGAACAGGAAGCTATGAAAGTCCCAAAGTTAAGCAGATGTGGGTTTTTCCGGCAACTCAAAATACACGCGTGACTTCTAGTCAGCAAGTTGCCGCTTGGCTCTAAATTGAATTTAAGCCCCATTAGCCAGAGTGTGAACCTTGAGAGAGCTGGCCTTTCAAGGTTCACACTCTTCACATGGGCTGGAGAGATTCCTATCATGACTGATTTTTCCATTCATCCATTGACAGACACTTGGATTGCTTCCACCTTTAGGGTGTTGTGGATAACACCAACACTCCTACAAACATGGGTGTACAAAAGGCTAATTCTCAACCATGGTTTATGTAGCTAGAGGGAAAATGCCAAAAGCTGCATTATGAGAAACAGTAAAGTCAAAACTGGAAAGACGGATCAAAGCGTAGTGTCTCCCTGAAACCCCTCCTACTAGGCTTGAGGTGAAGGAGAAGCACAGGAAGAAAAGTGCCTCAGTGCTCCAACAACTTTTTCCAAAGAAACCCTCTTTCTCATTTCCAACTTTAAACCTTTTAAAGCTTTGACTGGCATAGAGCTAAGGGTTGGAAAACATCATCACTTCCCTGCTTTGCAAGTCTGTGTGGATAGTTGTATGTTATCACCAAAGGTGGCCACCATCATTTCCTTCTCTCCCTATATGTGATTTCCTTCTCTATTGGCTTCATTCATCAAGAAGTAGAGGCGATTCCTGCTCTTCCTCTTTGAACTTGGGCTAGCCCTGTGATTTGTCTTCACCATTGGACATGGAGGAAGTGATATGGTGCCGGTGCTTAGCCTGGCCTTTGAGAGACCTGACATCTTCGACTCTCTCTCAGGAGAGAATGCAGCAGGCATGTAAGAAGGCTGATGAATCAGACCACCATATTATGAGGAAGCCCAAGCTAGCCGCATGGAAAGGGCACACAGAGAGTGGAGGAACCAAACCAACAGAAGCCTGAAGTCCCCAGCCATACGACCCAGGTAAGCCACCTTAGCTGGTTCCCTACTATGTGGTATTCCAGGTAAAGTCCCAGACTTTAGTCATGAAGGTGAGCCATTTCCTCTGTGCCCTGTACAAATTTCGGAGCCAAAGAATTTTGAGAAAATAAAAGATCTATTTTATGCTGTAAAGTTTTGGTGCATCTTGTTATGCAGCAATAGAAAACCTAGAGCAGTGGTCTAGCACTTCATTTTGGAATGTGGGAATACTTAGTTTACTGTTTTATTCTTAGCCTTTTGAAACCTCAGCAGAAAATAAGACAAATAAAATCCCATTTTAACATCCTGCTGCATACATTTCAAGATCATCTGTGAAAATGTAGATGTGATGCTTTGTTGACCTTTAGCACCCTGTCTTAAAAGACACTATCATCGGGCAGAAGCCTCTACAAACAGAATCTTTACAATCAGCAACAGGCTGGCTCCTGACACTTCGGGGGCTGAGGCAAGAATACAAACAGAGACCTACATACCACATGTCTAGATACTTAAAGGCTGTAAATCAAGCCAACAACCTATTAAATAAAATATGCTGTAGCTTGCTGCTTTGAAAAAAATACTGTCATGATGATCTTGAAGTCCAAGTTCAAATTTAGAATTCTCAACTGTCTGGAATTCCGCAGTGGAATATGGTGGTGTGGGGAGAGCTGGCCTTGGCTCCAGGCCTTTGTTCCAAGCTCACCCTCTGTTCTCTCATTCCTTCCGTGCTGCGGGAGGACTCATTCTCACCCACGGGGACATCCCAGCACACTCATCCAAACTCCAGTCACCAGCACATGCAGGGGTGTGATTCAGAAAGAGGAAAGTTATGTCCCCTTAGCTCTGGGGATGCCTTGTTCTGGAGGGAGGCACAAAACTGGATAAGAGTCAGGGTTATTTCCCTAGAGTTGGGGGCTGTAGTACAGTTTAGCAAACTGCAAAGTCTTATGGAATAGTCCCTTACTTCAGACAATAGTTGCAAGTTTAGGGGTCCCCAGGACCACCCTCAAGTTCAATAATTCTCTAGAATGGTTCAGAGAACCCAAGAAAGCACTATACATAGATGAGAGAGTGTGTGTGTGTTTGTTTTGACAGTTAAAATTTACACAAGAAAATTGATCAAGGGAAGAGACACACAGGACAAAGTCCAGTTGGGATCCAAAGGAAGAAGATCCTTTGGTTCTCTTCCCATGCATTTATGATCAGTGTATTGGTCCATTCTCACATTGCTGTAAAGAAATACCTGAGACTGGGTAATTTATAAGGAAAAGAGGTTTAATGAGCTCACAGTTCTGCAGGCTATACAGGAAGCATGATGCGGGCGTCTGCTTGGCTTCTGAGAAGGCCTCAGGAAACTTACAGTCATGGCAGAAGGCAAAGAAGGAGCCAGCACTTCACGTGGCCAGAGCAGGAGGAAGAGAGAGAGGGGAGGTGCAACGCACTTTTAAACAACCAGATCTCACAGGAACTCACTCACTATTGCCACAGTAACACCAAGGAGCATAGTGTTAAACTATGAGAAACCACCCCTATGATCCAATCACCTCCCACCAGGCCTCACCTCCAACACTGGGAATTACATTTTGACATGAATTGTAATTGGGCAGCTCCACACTGTATCAGATGGCATTGCCTCCTCCTGGCCATGACAATGTACACAGGGTACAACCAACCAGGGATGCTCACCTGAGCCTTGGCTGTCCACAGTTTTTGCTTGGGGTCTATCACATACTACTCATGTGGGTGACCTTCCGTTTCCCCTTTTAGAGGCTCAGGCTAATAATTCTGGAGGTTGGAACTGATATAATGTGTCTCCAAGCCCCCATCATAAATCATATCATTAGACTATCCAGTGGCTAAAGTCCTCAGGCAAACAGAGACCCTCTTACTGGGCAGGACATTCCAGTGGCTTGGAGATCACCACTCAGCGGCCGAAAGCAAAGGCCAAACTTCTCTTTCAGGAAGGCTAATCCTCCACTTCCCCAGGGCCAGGGTTGAGACCCTCTTGCCTAGAACTAGAATGATATTGATCAGAAATACTCTCAATGCATGACATAAACCCAAAAGGAGCAAGACAGCAGAGGAAATGATGTGGCTGCATATTGAACTCTCCAAGGACTCTACATTTAAATAGATGGAAGAAATGGAAGGAGAACCCCAGTCCAAGAAGAGATGCAAAAAATGGCAGTGCTTAGCAGGAAAAATATTGGGAAGGCCAGAATGAGCTAAGGCTTGTGAAAAGCACCAGCCCAAATGGGCTTTTTAGGGGGCAGGGGGAAAGATAGTGTCAGGCTAGAGTGCAGTTGCATGATCATGGCTCACTGCAGCCTCAACTTCCCGAGCTCAAGTGATCCCCCTACTTCAGCCTCCTGAGTAACTGGGACTACAAGCTGGGATTACAAGTGCATGCCACCATGCCCAGCCAATTTTTTTTAATTTTAATTTTTGTACAGATGGAGTCTTGCTATGTTGTCTAGGCTGGTCTCGAACTCCTAGACTCAAGTGATCCTCTTGCCTTGGTCTCCCAAAGTGCTGGGATTACAGGTGTGAGCCACCAGACCTGGCCCAAAATGGGCTTTTTAGCAACATTCCAAGAAGGAACACAAAGAAAGGTCTTCTCTGGGTGATGGTGTGATGCAGCAGTGTGGGAAATTGGCTCTCTTGCCCCAGAAAGTTCCATGAAGTAGAGGTATCTGGTCACTTACCCAGTTAGAAAAGCAACAAAGCTATGAGAAAATTAGAGCCAAAGAGAGCAAGAGGCTAAGGAGGGAAGGTCAAATGTTTGCAGCCCATCTGAATTTGGCTGGGAATCTGCAAAGCTCCCTTACTGCATTTTTTCAGAGTAAGATGGGGAAACGTAAAGTAAGAGACAGAATTGGCAGGAAAGTCACATCTGGTTGTAGAGCACCATGCTCCAAGGTGTCCACCTGGTGGGATCCTCCGTTGGTTGTTTAAATTCCTTATTTTATTGTCAACTTGGATCAAGAAATTGAAGCTATTCTTATCACTGCACAGATGACATGAAGCTGGGAAGGATCACTGATACCCGGGTAGAAGAATCAAGATTCAAGATCACAGGTTGAGTTCAGTGGCTCACACCTGGAGCCCCAGCACTTTGGGAGGTCGAGGTGGGAGGATCACCTGAGCCCAAGAGTTTGAGACCAACCTGGGCAACATAGCAAGACCCCATTTCTACAAAAAAATTTAAAAATTTAGCTGGGCATGGTGGCATGCAATTGTAGTCCCAGCTACTTGGGAGGCTGAGGTGAGAGAACCTCTTGAGCCCAGGAATTGGAGGCTGCAGTGAGCCATGATGGCATGTGCCACTGCACTCCAGCCTGGGTGACAGAGTGAGATCCCCATCTCAAAAAAGGAAAAAAAAAAAATGGATCTTGGCAGAATATAACATAACAACAAAGGAAATTTAATTGTCATGTATGACAATGTAATTGTCATGTATGTATATGTATATATACATACATATATACAAATGTCATGTATGACAATTTAATTGTCACATATGTATATAAAAATTCTAAATTCAGATGGCTAATTTAAAATGGATTTTAAAATAAGATGCTAATTATTGTGAAATGAACACTTTCAGAGGCAACACGAGAATATATAAATTTGCATAAACATATATATACGTTTTGTATGTACAAGTTTAGGTTATACATGCAACCAGGGAGACTCGGCTTCATAGGAATTCATGTGAAGAACCTTGAGGGGTTTTTAGTTAACTTTAAGCTCTGTGTGAACCCACAGTATAGTTACTCCAAACTATAAATAGGACCTTAGACACCTTCTGGAAGACTAGCATTTTGGCTTTGTATTTTAACCATCAGGTCCAGAGAGAGGTGGTCCAAATGATAATGACTTTGGAAATGGCATCATTTAGGACTGAAAAAGCTCAGAGTTTTGAGACTGGAAAGAGAAGGCTTAGAGGAGACCTGTGGCTGCCCTGTAATATTTGAGGGGCTGTCACAGGGAGAGGGTAGTAGATTTATTCTATGGAACTCTGGAGTGGCAAGATTAGGATGTATGAATGAGGATTACAGGAAGAGTTCAACTCAATACAGGGAAGAAGTTTCCCAAATTCATGTCTTATATAGCAGTTAGCTTCCCATCCCTGGAAGTGTCCACCAGGGATATTGCAGAGAAGTTTTTTGGAATCCAGGGAGATATAATATCTGAATACAATGGAGGATTCTTAATGGTGGAAGCTTCAAGCATGGTGGCAGGCTGCAGTGCTCATCAAACTAGACCACGAAGGCAGCTATTGGCTGCCCCTGCAGTAACGAAGGGATGGCTCTGGTCCCAGAACTAGATTACTTTTCCCTTTTAGTCTTAAAGGTTTGTAATAAATCAATAGCTTTGTTGCACCCGGACTGAGAGTCTGGCTTTTCACATTGGCAAAAACACACTCTCATTTGACTGTAATGCAATTGGAATAAAATTAACTCACTTTCCATATGGTCAGGTGTGCAGAAAGCCCACGTCCTTCTTCCTTTTTCCTGGATTGGATTTTTTTTTTTTTGTATGTTTCAACCATCTGCACTGCTCATGGTCTCCTATTTGTGACTGATGAGATGTTGAGATGGCCCAGGGGCTGCCTTCTTTTACCCATACCTCTATAAAACTCACAGCAGCTATAAAAACCAGCTATTTACTAGAAATTGTGCCTCTATATTTTCCATATACAAGATGTGGCACCTGCAAAGATATATCTGTGCTGACCTTGTAAAAGTTCAACTTGGCTTTTCTTTTCACTGCAAAGAGTACATTTGATGAGAATCAGATGGAGTTTGAGGTCATAAGTGGTAGTTTGCCAATAGAGTTTTACTTAAGAGATGGGAAAATAACAATAATAGATGCCTGTGCCTTCAGGCTAAGATGCTAATTATTGTGAAATGGACACTTTCAGAAGCAACATGAGAATATATACATTTGCATAAACTTAAGAAAGCTCTTGGGTGTTTTAGGGCCTGCAGGGATGGATAAAATATTTCCCAAATATTTATAAGGCTGACTTCTCTGAGAATGAGGCTCATTTTTCCCTAACTGTGTAAATGCATGTGCTATTAGGGTTCTGGTAGACATATGCACAGCAAATCCTCAGAGGTTAACAGAAAAATCGGTAGATTATGCTCGTGCTGATAATGCTGTTTCCAAACTCAGACGAAGACAGAGCCTACTGTCTTCATTAGCTAACATTACTGCATCAAAATGAGGTTTACGGTGTTTGGCAATATGATAAATTATGATTGCATTTACTGTTATCACCCCCTCCAACTCTTTTTTTGTTTTGTTTTTTACATTTAAAAATGTCCTTTCAATGTTTTGCAGATTTCTAGGAGTCCGAGAAAGAGATAACCTCATAGATGACACATAGAGTGTTTTACTAAATCAATGAACTCTTGGTGGGTACTAGTAGGGAAATGTACTCTATCTTCTCAAAAGGTCAATCAAGAGTTTACCCATGAGGGACTCCCTTGTATCCACTTTGTTAAACCCTTAGATGAAGAGAGAATAGGGATAGCATGCATGTACTGCCATTGGAAGTTGTCTTGTGATGTGGCATCACAGAAACTTCCAGCTCTCTATGAGCACAGCCCCACTGTGTGCAGATACATATGTGTGCACACGGGTGCATCTGTGAAGGCTAGAGATGTGTGTAGGTGGACTGGGTGCCCCCCGCTTGCAGTGAAAATTAACCAAACACAAGGCTTTTTGGTTCTCAAATTCTACGCCATCTGAATTTAGAATTAAAAAGTGACTTCAGAAATGACCTTGTTGCATGTCAGAATCTGCTGGGGAGCATTACAAAAAACAAACAAAAAATAATACCTGAGCGGTAAACCAGACTGGAAGTAAGGTCCAGAAATTCTATTTTCTATTTTCTAAGCTACCCAGGTAATGCTGTTGTACATTAAGATAAAAGAATCACTGCTCTGGTCCAATCCCTTTTTCTTACATATTGAGGTCGACTAGTTAACTAGGGCCAGATTGGAGGTAGGATCTTTAGGTGTGTCCTTTTTAAATACGACTAACCCAGAAAGGGAAGAGGATAAAGTTAGTTGTTGGTGTCACCTGCCTTTCCACTCTTCCACATTTACTTCTTTGGTTGAATTCTCACTCCCACCCTAATCATCCAGTGCTGAGCCCTCCAGGTTCCTACTCTTCCCATTGCCCTTTAGTGTTTAAGAAAGACCCATTCACCATCACTGTGACTGCCGTGTGTTGACTAACGAATGACAGCTCCAAGTATTTCCCTTCCCTGGATATTTAAACATATGTCAAAGCTTATAAAGTCACTTCACCGTTCTGGGATTTCAGTCTTATCACTTGTAAATAGAGTTGGCCTTTCCAAACCACGGTTCTCACAGTGGAAGTGTAGGCATTAGCAAATGGGTAGAGAAGGAATTCTAACCCAAGGAAGGTAACTTTCATACCCTTGAAATCATACAGAGTGACCCATGCTGCTGTACCTTGCTGTGGACTTGCCCAAAGATGTGTTTAGTGCACAGCATTGATTTAGGGCCTGTTCTGTGTCATTAAGGAAGCCATGTCAAGGCCCTGTCCTCAGGGGTTTGTGCCAGCCTTCAGGGTATTCCACGATTATAAGCTCTTCCGTGCTTCCTAGGAATCCGAGTGAGCTGTGAGCCACCTCCATTAAAAAAGATAGGCTAAAAAAATTTATTTTTCCCTGAAGGAGAAAACAAGAAAAATGGTAATGATTGTGCAAGAGGGAGAAAAAAAATTGTAGAATGTTACAGGGTGATATGGTTTGGCTGTGTCCCCATCCAAATCTCATTTTGAATTGTAGCTCCCATAATTCCCACATGTCATGGGAAGGATCCAGTGGGAGATAATTGAATTGTGGGAGCGGGTCTTTCTCATGCTATTCTCCTGATAGTGAATAAGTCTCATGAGATCTGATCGTTTTATAATGGAGAGTTTCCCCGCACTAGTTCTCTTCTCTTGTCTGCTATCATGTGAGATGTGCCTTTCCTTTCACCTTCTGCCATGATTGTGAGGCCTCCCCAGTCATGTGGAACTGTGAGTCATTAAGCCTCTTTCTTTTGTAAATTGCCCAGTCTCAAGTATGTCTTTATCAGCAGCATGAAAATGAACTAATACACAGGGTTATCGATGAATAGTTACTGGCAGAGACTTTAAATTAAAAAAAAAATTGTAACAACACTTTCAATAAGGATATATTATTTTCATAATAAGAAATCACAAATTCATATTTTGAGAGTAGGTTCTGCACTGGAGGTTTGTGGACTCAAGGACCAAAAATCTAAGCTGTCTGATCAGCCAGACCCAGCTCACCTATAGATGTTCACATTTTACTGGCAGGGGTCCATTCTTGAGCTTGAGCTTGACTGCTGAAAGTACAACTGCTCTCATAGACGAAGCATGCCAAGCCTAACTGAGTGTTCATGCATGAGTGTGGCAGAAGTTGTAAAATTATTCCTTGGGAGCAAGTGCAGTAGATGGGAGGTGATGGGTCAAGGGAAACTGGGTGCAGAGGTCAAGGCAAGGCCAGGGTCAAGCAGCACTGGGGGCTGTCAGGGTTGCTGGGCTGTATTGCTCATTGCTGGCTTGCTGATGTTTTCTTACCGCCTTGAGTTCTGACAGTTGTTTGTAGCCTTTGGAAACTCACCTGCTCATGGCATGGGGAACTTGAGTGCAGGGTTTGCTCAGATCAGTTCACCAGCTCCAATAAGATGAAGGGAGCTGTTGCCCTCCAGATAGAATGAGTTAGGAAATGACAAGGATACCGTCCTTCCACAGAGCATGTGATATAAATGGCTCTATGTGCAGGAATTGCTGAGAAGCCGCAGCACAGGGTAGGAGGTGAGAGAATATGCATTGAAGGTTATCTTAGTGCCTAAGAAGTTCATTCAATAAATATTTAGGGAAACTACACTTGAGATATATGCCTGACCCAAATGGACACAATGCCTTCCTCAAGGAGTTTACCTTTTAGCATAGGAGGCAGGGGATAAACCACAAACCTAACAAATAAAGCAGCCATATGGAAGGTAAAAGGTGCTAAGTGCTGGAGATAACGCAAGGGAGGTCAGGAGGATGGGAACAAAGAGGATTCAGGCTCTGGGGCAGAAGTCATTCCCTGGGTTTCCTTTCCAAGTCTGGAGAAGGACAAGATGCAGCCAGAGAAGGACTGTGGATCACTGGGAGGAGGGCACATTCCCAAAGGGGAGTTAGTAGCAAATGGAGGGACAGAGATGGCCAGATCAGGCGTTTCTTGTGGGCTGGGGAGCAGAAGAAAGAGGCTCACCCCTTGCTGTAGCTGGATGACCTAATAAGGCTTCTTCCATCTTGCCTGCTTTGAGTCTGGCCTCCAAGGACTCCCTGTTCTCTCTGGCAGGCGCTGCAGAGCCCACAGTGTTTAGGATTTCTGAGCGCCACTGAGTGTTCCAGCCAAAGACCCCATGTGACTTTCCTCCAAGCATGGGTGAGGGGTGCAGGAAGGAAGGGAGGAAGAGGGGTGAAGGGGGAAGAGGAGAGGGAGGGGGGAGATACGGAGATGGGGAGGAGTGCAGGAGGGAGGAGGGGAGGGGTGCTGGAGGGAGAAGAAGGGTGCAAAGAGGAAGGGGGAGAGGTAAGGGTGCCAGAGGAAGGGGGAGGGGGGGGGGGTGAGGGAGGGAGGGAGAGGCATGCAGGAGGGAGGAGAAGATGGCAAAAGGGAAGAGAAGGGGTGCAGGGAGAGAAGGGGAGGGGTGTGGGAGGGAGGGAGAAGGAGGGTGTTGGGAGGGAGGAGGAGCTTCCCATTTCAGGCCTTGGCACCAGGCTATCAGCTGAGACAAGGTGGACAGGAGAGGGGTATCAGAACAAATGCTAGGGCCCAGCTGTATCTGGCCAGTTTTCCTAAAGTAGTTAAAACTAAGGAGAAAGGTAACTGAGAAGGTGAAGAAAATAAGAGACTACTGAAATAGGTGTGCTCTGTGGGACACCATGCCTTCCTCAAGGAGTTTACATTTTAGCATATGAGGCAGAAGATAAACCACAAACTCTGTGGGGATTGGAGGCATTTCTGTCGTGGTTTTGTATCAGTCACAGCACTTACTCTTTCAAGAGCTCATTTGCCCCTGCAGCAGGGCTGGGGGCCCTGGGTGGCACCTCTTGCCTGGTCAGAGAGGGACTCCTCCACCTGGACACAGGGCACCTGGTTTGTTTCCAATTTCTTTTAGGCTCTTAGCATGCTGAAGCTGGGAGGGAGCTTCGAGATGATGAGGACGCCAAGGTCTCGTGAGGGGCTGCCCTGGTGAACACAGGCCCCGGTACTGAATAAGTCCTTCCCGGTTCGAACTCGATTGTCACGGTGTCATTTTTGCCAGGTGCGTCTCTGATACGCTTCCAGTAAGTAAACGGCTGAAACAGAAAGTTTTGAGTTTGTTTTTTGTGGAGGAAAGGCAAGAGAGCATTGAAGAACACATTTAGCTACTTGGGAGGCTGAGGCAGGAGAATGGCGTGAACCCGGGAGGCGGAGCTTGCAGTGAGCCGAGATCTCGCCAGCCACTGCACTCCAGCCTGGGTGACAGGGTGAGACTCTGTCTCAACATACACACACACACACACACACACACACACACTTAGAAGAAAAAAATATTCACTGAGAGGTGGGAAGTCAGGCCAACCAGGGAGAGCTTTGTCGCCGGTGAGAAGTTCTTACATCTAAACTAGGATGGGTTTGGGGGTGAGGCAGTCCACTCTGGAGTTGAGGTTTTACACACAGGCTGTCTTTCTTACAATCTACACATTTCACAAGTAAGCCAGGTGCAGTCATTTGCATGTACCCACTTGCACAAGACCTGCCGGCAGCCTTCCGGCCAGGGTGAGCTGCATTCTTTCCAGGCACTTGTCCCAGGCAGGTGTGTTTCCCAGTGCCGCAGGTTAGAGACAAAGCAGGTTTGGACTGGTGAGGGGCTACACAGAGAGCACCGTCTCCTGAGTCGGGGAGGTGGTGCTGGCCCCATCTTGGTCATGAATTCACTCTGTGATCCTGGCTGAGTTTCTTGGCCTCTGGGGCCCTTTGTTTACCACCACTGTAATGAAGGGGTTGGATTAGACCAGTTTTCTGGAAATGTGCTCATTGAGGCCCCGGATATCCCAGAGAAGCCGTGGCCCAGGGCAAGAGGAAGGCTAAGGAGAGCTCAGACGGAAAGTCCCCAGATGCCACCTGACTTCATCCACAGAACTGCCAGCTCTATAAGATGATGTAATACATATGATGTGATACTATAATACAATGATGGACTTCAGGGTAAGGGAAAGAAGAGTTCCACTGCCTGCTAAGTTTGGAAACCCCTGCATCAGGTCCCATCCATGATCCTATTATTCATTAAATGGTTCCAAGCAGTGCCAGAGGAGACTGGCAGTGTTCACTTTGCTTATTTGGAAGCCTGAACAAACGCCAAGAATTCACAGTCAGAAAAACACCCTTTGGCTCCACATTTATCTAGAGAGCAAAACAAACGCACTTGACAGATCCTGCAGGTCTAACAAAACCCCAGTGTGGCAGAAACCCTCCCTGCTGCTCCATGGTATTTATTATTTCCAGCAGATTCTACACTTGCTGTCACCAGGACATACCTAAGCAGAGCAGGTCAGGGCTGACCCCTGGGGCTGTGGGCAGAAGCCATGGAAAGCCTCTGAGGACCACTGGCTTTGTCATGAGTAGATGCAATATGTGCGTGACTGTTTACGTGGAAATGAAACATCTGTGACACATGGCGACATGGAAAATCCCACCATCATACAGTCAATGAGAACCCCAAATTCCATGTCATGAAAGCAAGGGTTGCATTATTGAAGATTAAATGAGATGACCCAGGGGTGAGCCTGTGTGGCTGGTTGAGGAAGGTGCTGGGGTCAAAGTCCTTCTCGGGCCAACGGCTTTCTAGGACAATAAATGTGTCATTTTCCTCCCCTGGCCTTCTCCCGTGTGGAACAAGAACAGAGCTAAAGATGTGGTTCCTTGACCAATTATACTGTATTTAAAATGACATTTTTAAGGGACTTTACTATTAGGCCTTAGTAAGGAATAATCTGAATTTCAGACTGCAAGGCTAATGTGTGAGATCAAGTCACTTGGCCAATTCAGCATTTACATCTCAGGATGGCTTTCTGGTTCTTGATTTTCCTCATCAAATACAATTTTTTTTTAAATACAGGGTCTCACTCTGTCACCCAGGCTGGAGTACAGTGACACGATCATGGCTCACCACATCCATGACCTCCCGGGCTCAGGAGATCTCCCACCTCAGTCTCCCAAGTAGCTGGGACTACAGGCAACCACCACCATGCTTGGTTAATTTTTATGTGTGTATTTTTTGTAGAGACGGGGTTTCACCATGCTGCCCAGGCTGGTCTCAAACCCCTGGGCTCAAGCAACCCACCTGCCTCAGCCTCCCAAAGTGCTAGGGTTTCAAGTGTGAGCCACTACACCTGGCCAACAAATACTCAAAGTCAGCCACATGCCTGGCATTATTGTAGAAGCTTGCTTCCCATCAATGAGCAAAACACAAAATTCCTACCTTGGAGGAGCTTATATTCTGTGTCATCATTTACTTATCCCTCACTTGGGGGCCCAGCTCTCCCGAGGGGCTGTGTTACTTGGGTGTCTGTCAGGGGAAATGGTAGCATGGAGATTGTAGCTGGGTTGTGGCATCAGACACCTGGGCTCAGACAGAGCCTTTGGTTCTCTCCTTACACAGCTTCCATCGACTCTGCTCATCTCTGTTTCCTTGTTGTTAAAGGGGACAGCAATGGCACAATTCTCATCTGGCTGCGTCGATGATTAAATAAGGTATTTAATCCTTGATGTGGCGCCTGGCACTTAGTAAGTGCCCATAAAGTGGGTGGCTCATGGCTATCACTCCTGGGCCTTGTTCTCACAGCGGCATTCCTGCTCCTGTGTTTGCCCTCTGTTTGGTTACCATGGGTGCTGTGTTTGTGCAGAGCTTCAGCAGGACTTGGTGCTGCGAACATTCATCTTGCCTCTGCCTGGTGATCTGGTGAGCAGGTGCTGCTGTCTGTAAGAGGAAGGGGCCAGCTGCCCACGGGACAGCAGCAGCTGTCTGGCCTCCCCGGGCTAGTGGCCAGGGGGCTGCCTTCCCCATCAGGGGTGGCACCCACTCAGAGTACTTTTGCTTTTGGGACTCAGCCGGACGTCTGTTTTGGGTGAGAGGATGCCCGCTCTTCCTTCCCTCCCAGGATGCCCCTGTTTCAGGCTCTCTGCAGCAGTCCTGCCTTGAATTGGCTGTGTGATCTGAGGCTGGTCACTTAACCTCTCTGGTTATCCATATCCTCATCCATAGAATGGAGATAATCATTCTCACCACTGAGGGATGCTGTGAGGATCGGGCAAGTCCACAAGGTAAGGACTGGATCAAAGTGAGGCACAGCACGAGCTTCCCTCACTCCAGCCACACAGCAGGATGCTAGTCTGTGCAAATCTTTGCCAAACACATCTGATCTTGCCAATTGTCTTAGTCTGTTTAGGTTGCTGTAACAAAATCCACAAACCAGGTGGCTTATAAACAACAGAAATTTATTTCTCACAGTTCTGGAGGCTGGAAAGCTCACCATTGAGGTGGCTGACAGATTTGATGTCTTGTGAGGGTCCATTTCCTGGTGCGTAGATGGTGGCTTCTTGCTATGTTCTCACCTGGTGGAAGGTGAGAACCCCAGGCAGCTCTCTGGGGTCTCTTTTATAAGGATGCTCATCCCATTCACAAGAGCCCTGCCCTCATGACCTAATCACCTCCCAAATTCCCCACTTCCTAATACCATCACCTTGGGGATTAGGTTTCAATGTCTGAATTTCGGGGGAGACACAGACATTCAGACCCTAGCACCAACTCTCACTACTTCTCTTAATATTACCTTATATGCTTCATTCCAGTGTGACCTTTTAGCACGTTCGGCCTCTTCTGTGATCCTGAAGTCACGTTTGACACTGGCGGCATCCACATCCGTTGGATGGAAAGCTTCTCCAAGCAGGGGCCTCTCCCTTCCTCTTTACAGAGCCCAGCATGCAGGAAGTATGCAGCATGTGTCTGTTCCTAGGTGGACAAATGCATCCTTGAACGAGGAGCTGGCACCTCTCTCTTGAAGATCTGTTTATTTCATGTCATGTAAGGGCATTGTTTCTGAAACTATGGCTAAATTTAGACTTTCCTTCTGCTGGGAGTCATGGGATGGGTTAGAAATTTATTCCTAGCCAGGCACAGTGGCTCACGCCTGTAATCCCAGTGTTTTGGGAGGCTGAGGAGGGAGGGTGGCTTCAGCCCAAGAGTTCTAGACAAGTTTGGGCAACATAGCAAGATCCTGTCCCTACAAAAAATGAAAACAAAAATAGCTGGGTGTGGCAGGACGTGTCTGTAGTCTCAGCTACTCAGGAGGCTGAGGTGGGAGGATTGCTTGAGCCCAGGAGGTGGAGCCTGCAGTAAGCTGAGATTGCACCACTGCACTCCAGCCTGGAGTGGACAGCAAGACCCTGTTTCAAATTGAAAAAAAAAAAAGAGGATGCTGTATTAGTCAGTTCTTACACTACAATAAAGAAATACCTGAGACCGGGTAATAAAAAAAGAGGTTTAACTGGCAAATGGTTCCGCAGGCTTTACAGGAAGCATGATGGCTTCTGCTTATAGGGAGGCCTCAGGAAACTTATAATCATGGTGGAATGTGAAGGGGAAGCACATGCACATCACATGGCTGGAGCAGGAGGGAGGGAGTGAGGGGGCAGGTCCCACACACGTTTAAACAACTGGATTTTGTGAAAACTCTATTATGAGAATAGCAAAGGGGGAAAATTCACCTCCATGATCCAGTCACCTCCCACCAGGCCCCACCACCAACACTGGGGATTATATTTCAACATAAGGTTTGGATGGGGGCACAAATCCAAACCATATCAAATGTACTCCTGGGCTCTTACAGGTATAACCAAGTAGCTAAGTCTGGGGCAGATTTTGGCTTGGAGTCTTGGAGAAGGTTCTGGTTGCCATGTTTCTTGCCTTGCCAAGCCAGCTACCCAGAGGGTCTAGTGCCCCAAACATCCCACAGCCTGGCCTGGGATGCCCCATGCTACGTGCTCCCCCACCTGGTTGTCCTGCCCTGTTCTTGCCTTCAGCAGCTCCCAGATGCTCTTCTTAGGGACTACTGATGACATTCACAGTAAATCAAAAGTGCTTCACCGTTTTGGAAATTGCAAAGTAGATGGGGTTCCACAGACAACACCAGGCAAGGGAACCTGGTTACTAAAGCCAATGGAGCATCAAGGTTGTCTTAGGATAAGTTATCCGGAGTTCCAACTTGCACTTGATTATTTGAGTGGTAAAATGAAGATATTAATACATACTATAGGAAATGCCCTGTTGGAATGAACTGTCAGGTTAATTGCTTTAATCCTCTATGCCCCATTATTGGTGAGAATCTGGTTATAGTCAATCACGAAGTAAGAGTCAACAGACCAATCTGAGCAGGGAGAGTGAAATGATAAATATACAGATGCTAGGTGCTGATGAAGGCTAATGATGAAGGCCATTCGTAATGCCACTAGGATTTTGTGAGACTAGTCTGTGGCCCAGTGAGGAAATCCGTCTCACCATACTGGTTTTCCATTGGCTACCATATGGCATCATTTTAAAGTCAGTGGACCTCAATTTCTCTTCTATGATGATAGAACTAAAGGATGTCATTACATAAGGGGTACACTCAGGCTGTGATGTTGTTAAATAAGGCCATGGCCCTCAATAAACCATGCCTGCCAGTATGCACATTCTTGGATGCATATTGAATCTGGGCTGGTTCTGTGATTTGTTTTAACCAATAAACTGTGATGGAAGTTACACTATACCAATTCTGGGCTTTAGCCTTAAGAAGGCCTTACAGCTTCTACTTTTGCACTTTGATACCCTGAGCTTCTATGTAAGAAGTTCACCTACCCTGATGAAGGGATCACATAGAGAGACACCTAGAGAGGCACTCAGGGAGGTCAGAAGGAAGGGAGAGGCCCTGAGACAAAATGGATAGAAAGACCAACCATCCCAGCACCCCAACTGAGCCCAGTTCCTAGCAGACTGTTCAGCTGAATGCACTGATACAAGTGACCTCTGGTAAGATCAGCAGAACAACCATTCAGCTAAGCCCAGCCACAATGGAAGAATTACAAGAAATAGTAACAGAATTGTTATTTTAAGTCACTGAATTTTGGTGTAGTTTCTTATGACCAAAACAACCCAGTTCTCAGGACAAATATTTTAGCTTCACCTCTCATGTGGATATTTGAGTATATGACCATCTGTATAAGTCTGAGTTTTCCAGAGAAAGAGAAACAATACTACGTGTGTGTGTATATAAAAGATACGTATTTTAGAGAATGGGCTCGTATAATTGTGGAGGCTTGGTGAGTCCCAACATCTGATGTGGGAGGCCATCAGGCTGGGGGTTCAGGAAAAAAATTACAGTTTGAGTCCAAGGGCAGTCTGGTGAAAAACCAGGAAGGGCTAGTGTTGCAGTTGAAGTCTGAAGGCAAGGCAGGCAGTCTCATGGGAAATTCCCTCTTGCTTGAGGGAGTTCAGCATTTTTTTTTTTTTTTTTTTTTGAGACAGGGTCTCCTCTGTTGCCCAGGTTGGACTCAGTGGCACAATCGAACTCCTGGACTCAAGTGAGCCTCCTGCCTCTGCCTCCCAAGTAACTGGGACTGTAGGCTTGTGCTACTCGGCTAATTTAAAATTTTTTTTTTTGGTAGAGATGGAGGTCTTGCTTTGTTGCCCAGGCTGGTCTCCAAATCTGGAGGTCAGCCTTTTGTTCTAGACTTTAATTGATGATTGGAGGGGGCCCACCCACAGTGCGGACAATGTACTTTACTAAAAGTTTGCAGATTTAAACACAAATGTCATCCAAAAACACCCTCAGAGAAGCATCCAGAACAATGTTTGGATTACATATCTGGGCACTGTGGCCCAGCCAAGTTGACATAAAATTAACCATCACACCATCCATTGGCAGAAAATAGGTTTTCTTTGATTTCACCCAGAGGTCAGTATGTGATTTTTGAAGAGAGAACCAGACTAGAGAATAAAGAGACTTGCATTTTAATCCAACTACTGCCACTAACATCATCATCAGCCAACCTAATTCCTCTGAGCCTCATTTTTTCCCACTGGGTTAATTTTAATTTTGTTTAATTTTCTGTTGTTCTTTCACCTTATTACCTCTTACAGGCAACTTTGGCAAGATGTTTATTCTTATAGGCAAAATTCACAGAAACCAAAAGCATGTTCTTAAACACCCTGAGGCTCTGGGACTTCATTGTTCTGTGCCACAGATCAGAGGAAAGTAATTTTGAAAGGATCACAGGTTATTGGATTGTGTAATTTTTAAAAATTTCAACAGTAAATACTTATGAAATGTACTGTGCGACTATGTAATTTTCATGTAGACACCTTAAGTAAATATCCTTTGTGAACTCCCAAAATCTGAGACGCGTCTCAGTTAATTTAGAAAGTTTATTTGGCCAAAGTTGAGGACGCGCGCCCACTGACACAGTCCCAGGAGGTCCTGATGACATGGGGCCAAGGTGGTCAGAGCACAGCTTGCTTTTACGCATTCTAGGGAGACATGAGACATCAATCAACATATGCAAGATGAGCACCGTTTCCATCTGGAAAGGCGGGACAACTGAAAGAAAAGGCAGGAAGACTCCAAGGGTTGGGAGGGGGGAGCTTCCAGGTCCTAGGTAGATAAGAGACAAATAGTTGCATTCTTTTGAGTTTCTAATTAGCCTTTCCAAAGGAGGCAATCAGATATAGATTTATCTCAGTGAACAGAGGGGTGACTTTGAATAGAATGGGAGGCAGGTTTTCCCTAAGCAGTTCCCAGCTTGACTTTTCCCTTTAGTTTAGTGATCTGGGGGCCCAATATTTATTTTCCTTTTACACCTTTGAAGATAGTAAAAATACTAGTGAACACATAGAGGAAGAAATTCTCACCAAGGAGGAACATTGGCTGCTTTGGTTGAGGGGGCAGTAGTGAGACACGGTGGCCTCCTCTGCAAAAATTCCATCTCTCCCCTGCTGGGTCTAATGTAGAGCCACATTTAGTTTGGTGGTTGGACCCCATCTGTGCTCCAGGGTGGGACTTGACTGATCTAATGCCAGTCAGGATAATCCTAGCAATCAGTTCAGGGGAAGACATGTGGCTTGAATTGTTCCAATCAGACTGCAACTCAGAACGCTTTTCTGGTTCTTGGGGTAAAAAAAGATTTCTTCTGTGTGGTATGGTAAGTATAAGGATATGAGACTTAGGTTAACTGCAGCAATTTGCTACCAGAAAGGAAACCAACCTAAGGGATAAGGCAAAATATGGAAGAGAAGAGGACCAGAAAATTACAGAAAAATGGGGCCAGAGCCTTGATCAATGCAAACTGGAAGCCCATTGGACCTCTCAGCTTGACAACCCCCTTTCATTTTCTCAAACATTTTTAAAAAAATAGAGTTAGGATCTTCCTCTGTCACCCAGGCTGGAGTGCAATGATGTCATCATAGCTCACTGCAGGCTTGAACTCCTGGGCTCAAACGATCCTCCTGCTTCAGCCTCCCCAGTAGCTGGGACTACAGGTGCAAACCACCATGCCTGGCTAACTTTTTTATTATTTGCAGAGACAGAGTCTTGCTGTGTTGCCCTGGCTGGTCTCGAACTCCTGACATCAAGTGATCCTCCTGCCTCAGTCTCCCATTTTAGGCCATTTTTGAGTTAGAATTTCTATTATTTCCAACCTTAAGCATCCTAATTGGTACCTGATACACCCCATCTACTTTTCAAGAAGAGTCAAAACTATCAACTGTTTAACCTTAGTCTCCTCATTGGTAAAGGACACTCAGAATAAAATCACTTTTCTCTCTGAATTATTTGAGATATTATAATTCACCAATGAGCTTACATGGAAGCAGAGTTCCTGCTGCTATCAGGC